GGGCACGGCTACCCGAAGACCTTGAATTTATGCTACGAGTGGGATCGGATACCCGATGGGGGCCAGGGCACACAGGGGGGGCGGGCCGGTTCATCCGCAATCATCAGTTTGCGACCCCTGATGCAAAGCAAAGAAAATAGCAGTATTGGGTGAGGGTTTGCGCTGTGTGGACTGGCTCCAAAGGATACGTTTGATGTGTATGCTCTCCATTCACCGCTGCGTGGCTTTGCTGGCTGGAGATATCGATACGAATTACCGGAACAAAACGTGCTGTGATATCGCCGATGCAGACGCCAAGGAGCAACTAGATATTGCAACGCCGTCGTGGTATCTGCCTGAGGCACGTTCATCCAGCCTGTTTCGTTGCCTGCTACATATATTTATACGCCCCTTCAAGAGTAGATTTCCACACTGACACGCTACATGAAGAGATTGACCGACCTCGATGGTCTCCTTGACGGTAAGTACCTGAACGGTATACAAGATGGGACGGATGAAACTGGTAAGCTGGAGATTTTTGCCGCTGTTCAGATGCATTACTAGGAAATCAAGGTGAACTGTAGACAAAAAAAACAAGTTGCTGTCCGAGTTTTGCTACAATGTAGGGACCCCAGCAAAACCAAGATGCTAGCTCGGATGGGTTCATACTCTGCAGTCAAGGTAGACAGATATTCGCCATGTGAGCCTCTTTATAATTCCACAGCGAGCAAGAACGTGCTGTTTTCGTCCGAGGAGTGGATCTATCGATCATCAGCTTCTGTTTACACAGTCTCTCTTCAGACTAGCATGATTACACTCAGCGCAGGTTCCAAGCGTGTATGTTCGGCGGCCTACATCAAGTTTTCCGTTTATGCAGCTCTGAGTGACGAGCAACCTGCAAAACGAGACTTTGGTATAATTGAGATGGTGGATGGCCTAAAGTTGTTGATAGCTCAAAACGTGAACGTCGCCTGTGTGTTCTAAACAATGAAATGCTGTGAGCAAAGATTCTCGCTGAGTGCCATGATGGAATGGATCGTGTACAGCACATCCAGGTCAAGATAGAGCGTATTAGGGAGGAGAGCTATGGTAGTTTTGGCCTGAACTACGCAGGGATATCAAGAAATACGCTTCTAGCTTGACTTGCCAGCAGTACAAGATGAGCAGCAAAACACGCAATGGATGGCTCCTTTTTCTCGATGTACCAAGTGGGTGCTATAAAGATGTTGGTCTGGATTACGTCACGTGTCTACCAAAATTTGAAGGTTTTGACTACGTTCAGGCTGCAGTTTGTCTACTGTCGAAGCGGACAAAGTACGCGCAAACGGTGAATTCAGCAAACGGGAACCTCGCTACTCGTGTATTAAAGACACGGAGAAGGATGCAGTGTTTGATCTCACGGCTGGTACAACATGTTTGAGTCGGTGGTACGTTACCATGGCCTCGAGTCATAGTAAGTGACCGCGATTTAACGTTTACTGGTCAATCCGTGCCTCGCGCCATAGTAAGTGACCGCGATTCAACGTTTACTGGTCAGTTCTTGCCTCGAGACATAGTAAGTGACTGCGATTCCGCGTTTACTGGTCAATTCTTGTCCAAATTGATGCGATTGCTTGGAGGTCAGCTTCGGATGACGACCGCTCACAGAACATAGACAGACGGACAAACAGAGCGAGTTCTAATGGATTCGCTTTGCTGTCTTACAGCATATCATAGCAAGCATTGGGTCTTTCATCGAGGAACTACCAAACTGGCACAATCAACATTGAAGAGCAAAACTACACCTTTGAGATTGAGTCGGGGCGTCAACTTCGCCACCCTTCCGATTTATTTGCTGTCAGTTTGACGGATCTGGCGAGATCGCTTGCAAAATCGGCTGTTCGTTTTATTAAGAAGATGTTAAAGATACTCGCCATCAGCTCCTGGAAGCATAGCGCAGTTCGAAGGACAACTATGATTGGGGTCGTGCGCACCGATAATGTTTCACTTAGCCCAGTTACATTCGACAACTGCATCGAGAAGCAAAAGTTAGCATCGTGCAACATCGGCTCCTACAATATACTAGCTATAGTAAATTAAAATGCTATGCGAATGAAGCTTCCAGACTCTTGGAAGATACCGCACCCGGTTCTTAACGTGGAATCACTAGAGCCCAATTATGCACCCGTCTCAAGATTTGAATATCGACTGATACCAAAGAACTTTCTAGTGGTATTTGCGTTGAACAGTACCATGTAGTCGAAGTGCTATTAAACAACACGGCAATTTAATCGACAAAGAGAATGACTGATCAAATGGCAAGACCGACAATGAGAGTACGTGACTCGATAAACGAGTCGTAAAATACATCGTTCCTTGGCGCAAAGTGCTCAATGACTTCAAAGATCGTCAACGCTCGCGTCGGATATAGTGGAGAGGATGCTATATTAGAGCATCGAATCTGCAGTAGAAAAGGCTCGCGGTCAATCCGGGATAGACATGGTTGCTACGGTGAATCCGACTGAGCAGATTCGGACGTTCACCTTGTAAGTGATTGAGATATCTCCATGTGTAAGGGTAACTATACTCGCTATTAGTGTATGGCAGTACTGAAAAGGTTCTCGCTTCCTTCTAGACACCAAACAAATTACATGTGCTCCTATTTTTGCCTCCAAGTCCTAAAGTCGACTCCCAGCTTCAACCACCGTCTAATATGCTCGGTTAAGTACGAGTGGAGCCGGTCTGAACCGTGAGTTTCCAAACCGGAAGAAAGCGAAGAATTCTCCCGGCCATTCACCCTTTGACACGCCAGAGCTCAAACTCCAGCGTACCCAAGCTCAGAGCATCAGCATCAACAGAGCACACTGCTCCACGAAGACGCAGCCTGGCTGCCAGAAGATTTCATGTCGTCCATTCCCAAGCCCGTCCCTCCAAGCCAGAACCAGCCGCGCAGCGTCACTCACGCATTAGCGCTCCGATGGCGTACTGTGTGCCTCAAAGCTCTGGATGAGTTGAATGGCCCGTGGGATGGTCCAGTTTACGCGACCCTGGGACGTAAACCGAAATTTATGAAGTCGATCGATACTGGTCCGTTCTTTGCGGAGGACGATGGTATGCGCCGCCCGGCCTGGCAGGCGACCTTGACCATCATACGCCACGACCAGCGCCGTGAGGATCTACCTTCGGCTCTACAGGAACATGTCGACGTTCAGCTTTGGATTCCTCTTCGGCGTCTGACGTCTTTCCACCGTGACCTCTCCGCCAAGCTTAATGAACGTCTACCCTTATCCCTGTTTCGCTATGTACGCTTGAGCAGGCCACACCACGGTGCGATACCAAGTTTCTCCACAAGACGCCTAACGCTTTCTTGTGTGGTCAAGTGGTGTCTTACTATTACATGTCGAGCTTGGCTCTGGTGGATGACGCCTACTTATTATTCGGGCCTGGCTCCGGGTATCTTTGCCGCGTGACGATCCGTCATTATTCTGATGCGTCCCCGTTAATTGTTGTCGCGACCCCGTTGGCTGACGTCCGTACACGCCACATTTCCCCACTGGAGTACATGTTGGGTTATTACCACGGGCTACCAGTCTCGATGACATCTCCCAGCTTCGACGGGACCTGGTCCTCACTCTCGTTTGCTGGCACGTTGGACACGCGAATGATTCGATCTCACTTGGATAATGCCTTTGCTACGGGCTCCAGTAACCCCATTTCCACGATTGATCTGTACCCTAGCGCAGTGGCGTACGTGACGCCTCGCAGGGAAACAACGGCGCTTACGCCTCTGAGGTTTGTACTCCGCATTATGGCCGTGCCGAACATGGATGTTGGCCAAGACGACGTCGCTCCTGATCCAGACCTTCCTCTTCTCACCGTTGAGGACGCGAGGCTGACCCCGTCGGACATATTTGCCCTTCCAACTCGGATTCTCCAGGCCAGGCCACCTTTGGGCAACATCACAGCGGGTGCAGCTCAACTGGGTCTAAGTCCTGGACCCATGCAACCCGCATCCACAAACGCAGTGCCAGGCACCCAATTACCCGTGCCGTCTCCGATTACGGTCGCCTATTTAGTTTGCTGCTCGAGCAGCAACGGGCCTCTCAAGCATCAGCACAGGCCCTGATGGAAAGAATGACGCAATTGACCGAGCTGGTATGTGGTCAGCGCCAGGCGTCCAACCCTTCGGTTAGTGTGCTCACTCCAGCTCAGCGTGTTCCGGTCCTGGACCAGTCGCCCCCCCCCTACGCACCGTGATCACACACGTGATTCCCCGCCTCGAACTAACCACGACGATTTGGTGGCGTATGGTCAGTCTAACGCGGCCCCTGTCCGTAACCGCTCACGCTCACGTTCCTTTCACCGGAATCGCTCCCGTTCCCGTTCGCCTCCGCGCGTCCATCGGCACGCCAGGCGTGTACGCTCCCGCACTCGCTCCCGGTCGCCTCCTGTTGTTTGGCGGTGGTCTCGGAGCCGTTCTCACCACGATTGTGTCCGGCGTCAGCGATCTCCGTCCTCTCTGAGACGTCGGCGCTCTCGCTCACGACCACGCGCTCACCGCTTGCCCCTGGGGCATCGACCAGCTGGTAGCAGCCTCTTTCGGCCATCGGAGAATGAAGCTACAGTGCATAACATTGCACGCGTTGGGCCTCGTTTCGACCAGTCCTCTCAAGGTACGGATGACTTCTACCGGTTGCTCGACATGTTCCAGGTCGGCTCCTTGCTCCAGAGCGAGCGTTTTCGAAGCCGATACCGAGTGTCGAAAGTCACCACCAAGATGCTGTTCGCTGTTAATTTTTGGAAATCGACCCATCGACCACTTCCTGTCCTCAGAAGACCCTAAGACGTTCCAGCAGGACCGCATCGGCATTCGTGATGACTCGCAATGGGGTGGCCCCGAACCTGGACCTCCCCTTCAGATCCGCCGGGCGGACCAACTCCAGCATGTCCTTCCTGTCATTCAAGAAGCGGCAGCGCTGTGGTATCCGGTCGATCTGGCGGCGGTATTCCGTACCGTTCACGGCGATGATGTTCATAATGTGATGCCCCGGGCCCCGCCGCAAGTTGTGCACGCGTCGTGCAACTTATACCAGGCAGTGTTTAGCGAACGTTTCACGGATATCCTTACCGGTGTGGACTGTCGCGACTTGAGCACTCGTGCACTCAGAGTGCTCGGCCGTGACTCTCCTGAGCATCAACAATACGTGCGCCAGGTGCTTCACAACGCTGTTTTTTGCTCCGTTTTTGATGTACCAGGGCCCTCTCGTTCCGACACTCAACGCACTAAAGCTGATCATCAACGGCGTCGTCGCGCGGGCAATGGGCGCCAGGCCCACCGCCGAGTCTACACTGATCCCGCCAGCAACACGAGCACAGACCTTACAGGCTAATGGCACACAGGTGTGGGTCCGTTTCCAGGCAACATCGGACAGTTCGTTCCCGCGGTGCCGCCATGCCTATGTGCTCCGCCAGCTTCCGCCAACGTTTTTCAGTGGGTTACATGCCACTTTGGAGCTCTCGAAGAAGGTCATCCACAACGCGAGTGAAGGGACTGGGATGGATGCCAGACATCACAACGCATTCTCCGTATTAATACGACTATGGGGAATTGATCTACCTTACGTGTTATCCTCTGCGTCAGACGCAAACGATGTGCCCTACGCACCCTCACCATCAGTGTCCGGCACTGCGTCAGATGCATGTCTGTCGGAGCTTCTTACGAGTGAAGCACAAGCTGCGATGCTATTGGTGTCTGTTACAGCGTCGTATGCGTATCCATCGGGACTTCTTGCGCCTGGCGCACAAGTACCATTGGTGTCTGACACTGCGTCGTATGCGCGTCCATCGGCACTTCTTGCGCCTGGCGTACATGCCACAATGCCACCCGTGTCTGACGCGGTGTCATATGCGTGTATATCGCCTCCAAATGCGCCTCGCGTCTTGACCTTTGCGACCCCTGCTCCGAGCCATTATCATGCCGACGCGATGTAAATGACCGGATTTGCGGGCCAGTCTTCGTTGTGCCTTCGATGGAGATCATCGGGTATCCTCGGGTCGCAGTGTCTACGCGTGGTGCATTTGGTCGACGTCGTCTCGCCTTCTTCAGTGGGAAGTGCGAGCGTTCGCTGAGGTTCAAGTGCACAATGTCATGGAAGCCCAGGGTCTTCTAGCCTGTCTACAATGGCTCAAGTCCACTTTCCCCATCGGAATGTTTCACGTGTTTGGCGACTCGAGTCTCATCGTTCATCAGGCCCGGGGTTTGTACTCCTGACCATCGTCTCGTCTTCGACCATGGGCTGCATCTATTCGATCCTTGGGGGCGGTCATGCCCCTCATTTTCTATGAGACACATGCGTCGGGAGCACAACGGCGCGGCGGATGCTCTGTGCAACTGGATAATCGATAGCGTACCACCTGCTACGGACCAGGTCCTTTGTGGGTATATGTGGCCGTGTCCTCCAGGTTCTCCTCCTGCTTACAGTTCGGCACTTTCTGTACGGTTCATACCTCCGACCCAGCCAGCAGTCGCTGATTTCTATGCTCATGTCGTCGCCGCCTATTCACTGGTTCTCCAGGAGCCCGCCACTATGGCACATCTTTTCAAGAAGCGCTTTGCTCCACCATTACCCCCTACCATGTCATCCACTTGTTTCCAGCCGACCGAATCCCGCTCGAGTCAAAACGTCTGCGCATGACCTTCCGTCGGAGTTTGCCACAAGGGCAACGCGTCCTTGCATGGTTGATGGTGCTTTGGGCTGCGTTCCAGAGGACGTCTTCCTGCGCCTCAAGGCGGTGGCTGCACGCTTTGATGTGTCTTTCCCGACAGACGTTGCCTTTCTCACGGCCAGATCGGGTCCGCTGTCTGTACCAGTGGTGGATGCGAGCATTCAGGACGCCCTTATTGCCGACCCAGAGCTTGGTATGGCAGGGACGCTCGAAATTTTCCGCGGTCATACCGCCGATGATGGCTGACCTAACAAAGCTTTGAGACCGTGGCTATACCGGGCCCATCTAGCCTCGTACCCCCAGCTTCCATTCTTGTGTGACATCGCTGAGCATGGCGTGGCCCCCCGATGGATCGACCCAGTTGGTCGCCGGGGTGTTCGCCCAGTACCGGACAATTACATTGGCGCATTAACCGGTGCATCCATCGTGACCGAAAAGCTGCTTGTGGATTACTACAAAGGCCGTTGCCTCATTGCGTCTCTAGACACGCTCCAGGCTGACCCTGGGTTTCACTCAAGTTCCTTTGCCCTAGTAGCAAAGAAGGACAAACCTCTTCATGTGGACGGTCGGATCATCCACGATTTATCTGCCCCCTTAGGCCGCTCCATCAATGACCACACCGATTCGTCAGCTTCTCCAGATGCAACTTGGGACCCGTTTGTCTCAATCGCGCTTCGTATTTGCGACCTCCTTCGCCGACACCCAGGGTGTGCCATCTATGCCATGGTTGCGGATATCGCTGATGCCTTCCATCATGTACCAGTTCATGCTCGTCATGCATCAGCTTTTGGGGGGAAACTACCCCGCTCTACCCATGGCATTGTTTCCGGCATGGCTGTGTTCGGTTGGATATTGTCACCACGGGTTTTCGCTGTCTTCGTAAAGGCAGTCCGACACAACCAGAGAGTGGGTTCTTCCAGAGTTCAAGGATACGAAGAACCCTTTTGGATATTCCAATGGGTGGACGACATTGTATTGATCGAGGTCGACATCGACGATCGCCTTCGGAAGGCTGAGAAACGATTACGTGACGGGGTTAAACTCATATTCGGTTCCGAAGGCTGGCACGAAGGCAAGTTCATGACCTGGGCGTATGTATTCCATGCAGTGGGCATCGCCTGGAACATTCCAGACGAAACCATTACTATTCCTCAGAGGAAGATGATGAAGTTGCGCAGGGTGATCGAAGGTACCATGACCAAGAAGCTTATCACTCTAAAACAGCTGGACAGTCTGGTGGGAGTTCTACGCCCATGATCAGCTTCATCCCAGCTACAAAGCCATTCATTCAGCGACTGGAAGCGCTTCAGAACCGTTGTCGTAAGCGACACAGGGCAGGTGTCCCAATGACGGAGCTCCTTCAGAAGGATTTGGTTTGGTGGAAATACGAGAGCGAGTTTCCAGGCAGCCCCTTACGACTACTCGATTACAACGACGACGTTAGCAATATGTAGTTGGTACAAGCACACCAACATAGCATCGTGGTGACCAGCACGACTTTTGAAGAGCGGCTAGTGCTCGCTCATAGTGACCAGCTCGAAGCTGACGACGCTGTTGGCATGGCCCTCGCGAGAGTAGCACACTTGTAGGGACCAGTGCTGAAGGTTCTTCATGACTGACAGAGCATTGCGATACACAGCGACTGCCGATGGATTACCCGGGTCGCTGACAGGATGAATTGTCCATCAGCAATTGGACAGGGGAGCTACGTCAGTGCGCTGTGCGCTAGGCTCGGCATCGTGTGTATTTTACTAGACACACACCTTAAGAAGGAGTATGGAGCGGACATCGAACTGTGATGTTCATACTAAGACTGACCAGTGTGATGCGACGCAGACACAAAGCGACGACAACGAATCGAAGAGAAAAACCAGCAGCTCAAACGAGTATCCGTGGCGGAAGGAACGCTTGGCCGTTACAACAGGAATTTCAAGTTCTGGGAGTCGTTCTGCGGCGACTTTGGATTCCTCGTGTGGATCGATGAATTGCCCAGGCCACAATAAGCAAGGATGGTCGGTCTTTTTGCCGGACTCCGTGCCTCAAAGGGACACAACAAAGCAAGGACAGGAAATTAGTACCAGACATTCGACGGAAAAATAACAGCGGTGGCATTCGCACAAAAGGCGGTTTGGAACGCCAAATTTGATTACCATGATCCGGAATTTGAGCTTACTGCTCAAGGATACAAACGTACGAACAGTCAGGTGGACCGGAAGCAGCCAGTTACTACATCAGTGTTGCTCAAGATGTGGGAGATCCTAAGCACTTTGGACCCGCGTGGACGGCTTCTCTGGGGATCAATCATCTTGAGCTTCTTCTTCCTAGACAGATGCTCAGAGCTTTGGAATTCAGTGACCGTCGACCGATCTGCCGGGAAGGACGGGATTCATTACGTCAAGGCAAATAACATCATCGTAAGGGACAAGCAAGGTAAACAGGTCAGAACCGATGCCGCGAACGCCCATTCCGTGGAAATACTATTCGAGTCTCATAAAGGCGATCGGATCGCCCAGGGCGTTTCTGCTAGGCACTATCGCTCGAACGACCACATTTTGTGCCCGGTGTTGGCAGCACAGGCTTGCTTACGAGTGAGGACAAATTGGCGCTCAGAGAATGTGACCCTGGGTCCATATCTTACCTCTACTTCACAGAGAGAAACAATCAAGAAGACTCAGGTGTCCAAGATAATCAAGAACGCGGCCAAGAGCATGGGACTGGAACCAAAAGACTACTCCTGTCATTCACTCCGAATCGGAGGAGCATGCGCGTAACTAGCTGCCGAAAAAAAGTGACCTGGTCATCCGGCTAATGGGAAGATGGTTGAGCTGGTGTTTCTCTGTGTACACCCGGCTACGACCAGGAATGATTCGCGACGCGGCAAGCAGCATGATCAAGGCCTCAGCATGGGGGCACCATGAACCAAGATCAATCGCGCTCGAGGGGGAAGGCCATCGAGCCTAACTCTAGAGAGCTAATCAAGTCTACTTGCCGCATTCATAGTGATCACCGAAGGAGGAAACCGCACTATCCATCGATACAGCTCTTCCTATCTACGGCGCCCACTGCACGTGCATCTTATCCGTACAGCGGGCGTCGTAGCTCCACTGCGTGATCACATAAAGGTAGATTTATCCTCATGTTTGACTTGGGCTTTGCAAGGGTAATCGTAGTCTGGGCTATCGAGGGTGGATGCTCAATTACCTGTGACCCTTTTGTAAGTATTGCGACTACAGAGGTATTCAGAGTACTGTAGTCATGCTGTACAGCAGCCCGTCAAGGCAAAAAAGAAGTTATAGCAGGCATTTATGCAGCAGCTTCTGCGCTCTTCGTGCGACCTTCGTGCAACACACTTTAACACTCCTTACAAAAACGAAGTATTTGAGTTAATCACTCCTTTCAAGAACGAAATATTTTGAGTTATATATGATTTGGTGGCTGACTCCCTTAACATGTTATGTACTGCAATAGGTCGTAATGGTTGGCAACCTTCGCGAATACCACCAATGGAAATGGGTGACTATTAACGTTAATAGTGGCGGTCTACTTAAAATCGACCGCAGATAAATGCTGAAGTTTGTAAGCCCCATACAAAATACAGTTGTTAGGGTGCAAGCTATTTCCGGCACCCACTGTACTCGTTACTTCAGGACAATAGAGTGGTTTAGCAGCAGGAACTTGTGTGAGTTGTAGACTAGCGCCAATCACACAACCCTAATCACACTGCCGCACACGTTGGTTTGCCAGCGAAGCATTTTGCAGAGCGAACGCAAGCTCTTATCCGTCCTTGGTGTATACAACATTTGCAAAGCACACAAGCCAGTCAAGATGCTCGAGGAGAGCTTAGTCCTCGCAGCGACCGCTCTGAACCTCATCCTCGTCGAGGACGCTGCTGTGCTCTTCGCCAGATCTCCTATTCCACGACCAGTCCTCACACTGAAGGGCAACTTCAATTTCAACGCATTAAGCGACGGAGACTGTCGTTTTAATTTCCGATTCTGGAAGCGTGACGTAATTCGGCTGCACAAGGCGCTGCGGCTTGAGAAAGACTACAAGCTACCGAGCCGCCTTCGCGTTGGTGAAGTCGAGGGGCTCTGTGCGTTGCTGCGCCGGCTCGCGTACCCTGGACGGTACGGGGATCTTGCTGTGATGTTCGGCAGGTCGCCCAGTGCGCTGTGCCTGATCTTTCGCTTCATGGTGGACCTAATCTACGCTAAGTGCAGCAAGCTTCTTGCACACGGCAGTCCTATCGACAGGTGTATCGGCTTCATTGATAGCACGGTGCGTGGCATCGCCCGACCAGTGCGCAACCAACGGCAGTGCTATAATGGGCACAAAATGCACTCAAGTATACAGTATTCGGATGTTAAGGTGCATAGATATACATTTGTATACGACTTGTAGAAAGCTTATCAGTCGTAGCTACATCACCTGAACGAACGTGTGACGCTCGTCTCTGGCAATCCTCACAAAAAAAACCGGGCGTCACACGCTCGTAGCTTTCACTCTAATAGTGTGGATCTGTTCAAGCTGAATTTAATGTGGTTCCCATAATCACATTTGTTGAAGGAGGAATCAGATTGCTTCTTAAATTTCTTACTTCGAAGTAGAACTTTTGCTCCGCTCCTGAAGATGCACAGACACGTACACATATTCTGCTGCTGCTCGTCCGATGCCATTCGTCGGCGGATCGTTTCACGGGGGCTGCAACTGAGGAATCTTTACGACGCGTTGCTACTCTCAGCGAACCGAAACCTCAACTGCCGCAACGACAACGGCAATGGCTGTCTGACTTGCATGGCGTAGCACCAGCCCTTTCTACTGAATAACGATGGCGCTATGCTCTGCGTTTAATATTTATAGATCGACGCCGTTCGGAGTGGTATGCTTCGCGCAGGGGCTTGTAAAAAAAACAAGCCGAGTAGTCATTTTGCGACCTTTCGCAACGTAACGGGCGCGATCTGTAGCCATGTTCGCTTCGACTACCAAAGACCTCTGATCCACACCAAAAACGACTCGCAATCTTTTGCATGGTGCGGCAAAACGCCACCAAAATTTGCTTAGGGGAAAAAGAAAACGCTCCACATCGACCGATGTAAGCAACAATGACATGCCAATCCGATCTCGGCAATTATTCGGTCACCGAATGTTCCGACGTATCCCCTACAAGTATACGTATTGTAGCGGCATGATCTCTACCAGACGCTGCCCAAGAACGCTCTGACGCGCTCTTTGTCGAATTAAAAGTGTGGACAAGCGGCGTAGTTTTTGCCAGCTGGGAGCCATTTGACATCGGAGCCCAGCTCTGTTGCGGCAAAAAGCGGGATCCGCGTCAAGTCTCCAAGCAGCAGAGCGTCAGCCGATGGATAGTCGCTCGACAGCGGTCGGCGTTGACGGCTCCGCTCACAGAACTATAGATCCAACCGAACCTGCGTGGAAGACGCCCGTCCATCCAGGATCGTCGACACGGGCGTCTGTCAGCGCACTGACTCAGTGCGCTGTGCCACTGAGCCAGCACCACAGTATCCGGTGGCCACACGAAGCCGCCGTCTGCTTGGCAGCGTGGAATCTGCGCAAGAGAGCAAGCCGGCGCTTGGAGTTCCGCCCTGTGATGAGAGCGCCACCCGCTTTTTCAGGCAAAGCCCAGTGAGAATATTCACTTTCCGCCCGCTATGCTTTAAGTTTGGTAAAGAAAACTGCCGAACAGCCGTTGCCACTTTCAAAGCTCTTTGGCTTTTTCCTATTATTTGGCACAATATTTATCGAGCTTTGTTTGCGTTGCAGAGCAGAATCTCTCTCTCTCTTCTGCTCATTATCCAACTCGCCTTCCTGCGCATAGGCCGCGTCTCGTCACATTCAGCGCCCGATCTCTACGACGCTGATGCCCGGCCAATTCGTTGACGTGGTCGCCGTCACCGTCGCGTCCCCGACGACGCTTGCCCCCACTCTCAAGGAGCCATTGGCGGTGCCTGTGCCCATACGCGGGTGCCGATCTCAGTCGCTGTCCACACTGCCGCGCCGCGCCTCCACGGCTAGTGTTCTTACGGTGGAGAACAACCAATCGGATACCTTTACCGAGGAGGAAGAGCTCGAATTCCAGAGCCAACAGCACGCCCGGCACGCGCGACGTGCACTCAGTTCGGGTGCCGGCAGCTCGCTCAGTCTACTACAACAAGAACTTGGCTACCCGCGCCGTGCCCGAGTGACGGGTCGCCACCGGCATCGACGTGGCTCTTTGCTGGAGAACACAACCAGCAAGAGAATACACAGCGCAAGTCATGACAGCAGCCACGAGATTCACAGCAACTGCAGCAGTTCAGGTAGTGTGGCCAGCTCCAGCGACCTGCAACGAACACAGTCTGTACCCGAGCCGGAAGGAGAGAACCAGATAAACCAGCTTCACTACCATGGTCGCAGCTGGACATTCAACGCAGTCACGTGTTCGCCACGCAGCGATGCAACAGGTGCACAGATTGAGGAAGAGGAAGACGAGAACTTTATGAACTACCGTAGTGCATCCGTCACAGGATACAGCCGCGACACCGACGGCGTCGTTTACTATGAAGTGATCGTGCGCTCTACCGCACATGGCCCGCTATCGGCCTACAAGGTGCGACGTCGCTACTCCGAGTTCCGAGACTTACACGCAGCATTGAGCAAAGTCATGCCGGTATCACACCGAAAACTAGCGTCCGTCACGGCCATGGCCAGTATCAGTGACGAAAACAACGAAGACGAGGACGCAGCTGTAGGTCTCCGCTTCTCTGTCACAGACTGTGGCGAAGACAGAGAGACAGCGTTACCCCCACTACCCGACAAGGGCGGCGTGTGGAGCTACCTGCAATTCGACAGTATCCCTCTTCTAGAACGACGAGCTAAGTACTTCCACGCTATGCTGGCGGCCGCACAACGACACCCCGCTGCCCGTGCTAGTCGCCTACTCAACGACTTTGTCGGTACACCACCCGACCTCGTGTCCTTGCACTCGAGTGTGGAGAACAGCTACGTGAGCTTAAACCGCTTCGCCGCACCCAAACTGAGTTTCGATATCGAGATCCAGGAGAGAAAAGAGAAGGCCAAGAGCATCCGGAGACGCCGAAGTTCCCTCAAACGCCAAAGCTTCACCGGTTCACTTGACGCCAGTTTCAACAGCCCGCGCCCATCGCAGTAAACCACTCAAGCAACCATTCCGCCAAAAAGGGCGAGACCTTTACTTACGCCACACAGCAAGCTCGGAAACCGTTTTGGATTCTTTCTCTCTCAGCCCACACATTTTGTCGTCCCCAGTCTGTAAATTGTCAAGAAAAAAATAAATATAATGAGGTTTTCTGTTGTGGAAAAATAAGTATCCATCTTCGTCTGTCTGCTTTCGCGACATGGCAAGCGTTTCGCCACAAAGTTGCTTTAGCATTGCGCCACACTTCTCGAGGAGATCATTGAAACGGCAACTATGTGCATGCAACAACAGACAATCGGTTGCTTTTTTTGCATTCAACTGGCAAAAGACATGCACCTGTCGGAAATCCGTTCGGCTGGCGATCTATTAAGGCGAGAAGCTGGGCTGTCTACAAGTACCATATCCATCAAGGACCAGAGCAGAGTGTGAGCTAGCTACGACAGAAATGTGCCTTACGGCGGCACCATCTTGTGGATGTAGTCGGCGATTTCCGGCTCGAGATACTCGGACAGCTCGTCCCGGGTCACCCAGAGGTAGTCGCTAGCCCTGTCCTGGTTCAGTGCCACATCTCCGTCCAAGTGCTGCGACTTGTAAAAGAAAACCTTGGTGCCGTCAAACTCCGAGTCGTTTTCGTGCAGATACTGCACGTAGCCTATGGGCGCGAAGCTTACCGGGTTCGCCTCGACCTCGTCACCAACTGTCTCGCTCACATGTCGGAGCGCAGCATCGCGCATCTTCTCGGCGCCCTGCTTCTCGCCCACAGGGAAGAACCATGGGTACTTGGCGTCCTTCTGGTCGTTCTTAACCAGCAAGAATACGCGCCCCTTTAGAGCGCGGTTAAGTGACTTGCGGTTGTCGTTAGCGTCATCCTCGGTCTCACGCGGGGCCAGGTGGAAGCCAGCGCCCACGATCTCCTCCGGATCCTCCTCAGCATTAGGCCACGGCGCCTCCTCAGGCGTAATATGCTTCGTGCCGGGTTCCATAAACCAGAAATCCTCCTCTAGTCTCTGATCCTCGCGTAGTGCCTTCTCGTGTTGCATGATCTCAAAATCCACCTCCCAGTCTTTCAGATCGGGCTGGATGATCGGCAAACGCTCCAAGACACCGGCACTAAGCACACGCCATTTCTTTCCATCGTCCACAGGCGGCGACACAAGGAAGTTCTGGCGCTGGGTCTTCTGGCGAGGCTGTTGACGCGGCGGCGGTGGGTTGCGATTGCGCTCCTCAATCTTGGCCCTCTGACGCCACGTCAGGCGCTTCTTGTGGCCGGAAGCAAAGGTTCGCAGCTGCTGAGCTGGCTGGGCTCCAGCCACACCAGACGCAGCGCGCGTCAGGCCGCTACGGAGCATGGAATACGAAGGATAGAAGCTGCTCAGTGTGTGTGGCTCAGGCAAGGCGCTGGCAAAAATAGAGTCTACTATTGAGACTGGTACCGAATTATCGGTACCAAAATGTCTGCTGACACATAAACTACGAAATGTGAAAAACAAGATGACTACATTTAGCGTTTGTTCCTAACGTTCGTGTTCCTAACGTTCGTTTCACTAAATCTCTTTGTTAAAGAGTGGATGGTTGTATCTACCGGGAATCTTGGCTCCAGCTTCCGAGGTTTTAGACCCGCTCGCTGCAACGATGTTGCGTCGGGCGTCGGAACCGGCGGACCGAGCAATAGCAGGTACACTGCGGCGATCTTGCATGCCCTTTGTCCACGAATCGATATCCACTCGGTCCTGCTCGTTAAACAGTAGACGGTAGCGAGTTCCCAACGCCAGGACCCCCTCGACAATTGTGGTGGCCCACGAAGTGTTGAGTTTTCTGTACAACGTGCGTAGCAGTGGCATCAGCTCTGAATGCAGTCGTCGCGCTCGCTCCTCTTCATCATGACCCTCTTGGCTCTGTACTATTTCTTCAAATCGAAGCTTCACCACTTTTGCAGCTTTGTTGAACTGATATGTTTCATCCGTAAAGAGCTGTGCGTGTGTGATGGCCAGAAACTTCCACACATTCAGCTTTCGCTCTCGCTCGCTTCGTTTATCGCCTTCAATACTCAGGAGCACGTCGTGCTTTGCATCCAGCGTTTCAATCATAATCTGAAACTCTTTTCTGCCACTTATTGTTTCCCCCTTCTCATCGATCACTTTCGTCAATGTCTTCATGAAGAGCTCGCTGGACTCAGCATTCAGTTGATCCGATATTAATTGACAAAATAACGCACTGGCCTTAGCAAATTTCTTTTCCACCAGCTACAATATGAGAACAACAATCAGATTGACATCAAAAACGCCAAACACGACCGAACACTTTATGAATTGACGCATGGGCACACGCACCATGTATCCCTCGAGCTTCGACACAGTGGCTGGCAAATCCAGCGACTTCTTCTCCACCCGACGGCGCTTCACCTCAGATTCTTTTGCTGTAGCGTCATCCGCCTTCTTGTTGGCCTTTGCTTCCTCTTCTCGCTCGCGCTTGGTCTTCTTGGGCAGCGCCAAACCGCTGTACAAGTCGCCACCTTCCATCGTGGTTAAGTCGACAAGTATCAGCCGCTCTAATACCGGTATTTTTTTAAAACGATACTTAAACGAGATTTATGTGGGATTCGTCAAAAATATTTGCCTACGCGTCACGACTTGACCAACTTCAGTTTGACCAAGGGTATCTGTCCTCCGCCATGAAGCCCATCGACGCCACCACGCACGAATACGCCCGCATCAACGCGGGCACCTCGGCTTCAGGTAGCATGCAGATCCACCCTCTTGCACTCGCGTTGGGCGTTGTGGGCGTCTTCATTCTGGTCTTCCTCGTGGCTGCGTCCTCGTATCAGAAGCAGCAGGTGCAGATTATGGCTCGAAAGCTGTTGCGCAAAAAGCGCAAATCCGTCACGGAGGAAGACAGAGGCAGTGGTGGTATGAACCCGGTCTCGGATCTCCCGGGTTTCGCACGCCAAGCAGCCGAGTCTGGCAACGCGCGCGTTGTGAAACGTTGGGTCCATTCTACCGACCGGAACGTGGACGCCCGCAGTACTGAGAATCTCACCGCCCTACATTACGCAGTGCGTGGCGGCCACAATGAGTGCACAAGACTGCTTTTGACAGCCAGTGCTGACTCGAACGCCACGGACGAGCGCAGTATCACGCCACTGCACCTAGCAGCTCTTGGTGGCCACGCACTCTGCGTTAAGCTGTTGTTGGACCACCACGCCGACCCGTTTCGAGAAGACGTGGACCACCATACCCCACTGTATATTGCCGAACAGAGCGGCAACATCGGATGTGCGCGCTTGTTGCAGCGAGCAATGGCCAAGGCAGCAGTTCAAGACGACGCGTCCGTCACACTACGCGCAGGCGCCAGTACGGCTCGTGTCGACAACGCAGTGTAAGAAATTATCGAACGTTGGATAACAAAAAACTAAATGCAGCACCAAAAAATTAAACGTCCCAAAATACATTTACCTTTTTTCACTTTTCTATAATTTGGAGTCACGACGGGCTTCGAACATGGCACCAAGAGCGTCCACGAGTCGATCCACTTCGTCGCGCGTGTTGTCGGCGTGGATAACGATACGAAAGCGCTCTGCACCTTTCGGGACAGTTGGAGAGCGAATGGGGATGACGCGGATACCCATCGCGTTCATCTGCTGGGAAGCTCTCAATACACGGTGGTTGCCTTCGAATACAACGCCTTGGATAGGAGAGTCACTGGCAAGTAGTGCCTTGCACGGGATACTCGGTGTATGGCTTATCTTTCTCTTGAAATATTGCACCAATTCGATGACATGGCTACGTAATATCTCGGCTGCAGAGGTAGCGCAGAACTGGTGTACACTGATGACAGACACGAGCTGGTCGAAGGGGAACGCTGTGGTGTAGATGAAAGACCGCGCGTAGTTGACTAGATAGTCGATCAACACTTGGGAACCGCAGACCACAGCACCGTGACAGCCCATGGCCTTACCGAATGTGTGCACGCGACACACGATAGCATTCTTATACTTTTTTTCTAGACCCAACTCACGTACAGCACCGGATCCTTGAGGTCCGTAGACACCAGTACTGTGAGCTTCGTCGACAATTAGAAATGCATCCGTCTTCTCACAGAGAGCAGCCATAGCGTCTAATGGAGCAAAATCGCCGTCCATCGAGTACAATGACTCCACGACGACATATACACACGGTTGTAGTGCATCGACTCCGTTCGAAGACGAATAGTTTTGCAGTTTACGCTCGAGATCTTCCAGGTCATTGTGTCGGAATGAGAACGAACGATCGTTGGCGTATGCGCGACTCAGGCGGATTCCTTCGTGGCACGAGTTGTGCACCAATTCGTCGTACAGGATCACGTCCTCTGCTTGTGGTACACAAGACATGACGCCCACATTGGCAGCGTAGCCTGAGTTGAACAGCAGCGCTGCCTCACTGAAGTTCAAGTTACGACAATAGTAAGTCCAGAGCTCAGCGCAAGCCTCTGTACAGCAACCTACCTGTTGTAGAACGTGGCTAGCGACTTCTCTGTTTCCATGAACAACCGTGAATTGCCTGAAATGAGCCGTGAACCTGTAGCACCGAGCGTTGCCATGTGCTGGCCCTGCAGCTCGTCTTGACGCTTCTTCACGAGCTCCTTTAGTGGTTGCGAGCGCGCGAAACCCAAATAGTCGTTCGAGTAAAAATCCACAGCAAGGGGAGCGCCCTCATCTGGCACTTGAAGTGTGCGCAACGTGCCCACGGTGCGACGGCGGGCCAGTGCGCGGCCGAGCTTCTCATCCACCCGCGTCATCGACTCTAATCTTGTCAAGCGATTACGCAAATCTCGGTGGGCTAGCGTTCTCATGTGGCCCACATGAGCTTTGTCATGATCTCAAGTTGCATAACGGTAGTTGCCATGCAAGTTGCATTGCAACTCGTGATCATTACCAACGAGTCCGATACTGCTACATGTATCGAAGCTGTGCCTTTTGAGAGAATAAGCGACCGCATGAACGAAAAGTCCCCCAACGCGAGCTTGTCGGCATGCGTACGCTGTTCGACTGTTCGCTATTACCGTTGAATCAGCGGCATCTTTTTTGGCGTAAAGCTATTTTCTAGGTGGAAGCGACGCTACCGCAAAATAAGTTTCTTTAGCAATAAACTAGGGTGGTTTATAGATTCTATTATAGAATCCTGCAATGGACGAGCGGGTTTATTACTGCTTCACATTTTAAGTGAAGTCACGTGATGTGCAATCACGTGCAGGCCTTGTTCTCTTTCATTGAGGTCCCGTTGGGTCAAGCCAGTGACCCACCCAAATAGATACCCACCAGCGTCTCCATCAAGAAGCCAAGAGACTTCTCGAGCCTAGGGAAAAGACGTAGCGTCGCCAACCAACGGTCAGCGCCTCTTCGGTGCTTTCCATCTTAACCTCCCTCATGCGTTCATTCTCGAATTCCCGTTCGCGTAGACGCGGAGCATGCGATGTCGTGGAGCTCGACACCCAGCGCAAACACCGGCATGAACTGGCTGGGATACTCTAGCCGCGAAGAACTTGAAGCCAGCGGCATTCTTGATAAATGGGCACAGCAACAGCAGCAGAGCACTCTCTTCACTTCGCGACGCTCGACAGTTCAGTTGTGTCCGCGATGCCTTGGCCATCGCATTGAGAAGGTCGTGTACAACTCCATGGTGTTAGAGCACAATTGCTCCGCGTGCGACGGCGAAGGTGTTGTACGACCTCAGTCTACCCCGCCACCGACCAGCGCCACGATCGCGTAATAAAGATAAGGTGCATCGACTCAAAGCTGCATATCAGGAAATGTTAAATTTGGCTTTCGATTTTTTTTTGAAATAAAGCTGCATATCAGGAAATGTTAAATTTGGCCTTCATTTCAAAAAAAATGTTTCTTTTACTTTGTCGTGCTGCGTCAAGTACACTACATGTCGATTTACACGCTACACCGACATTTGCAGACATTGTCGGAGTTGGTACACGCCCCTTGAAGGGCGTGTGGGCTATGTTGTTGTTTCACTTCCCAGTTTTTGTCTTGTTTCGTTTACTCAACGAACAGCAAGTTATCCAAACCGAAATCCTCGGTGTTGGACGGCACACCGCGTTCTTGATGGCTACTTTCTTTGTTGGGCATGCCGCATCCGATAGAAGTGGACACAACCTGATAACTGTTGCCTTCTTCCCACTCAAACTCGTTTTTGCAGTCGAATTCGAGTGGAAATGGGCCGATTTCAAAGTTCGACGACGAAGTCTGTGCGTCCCAGATCCACGGCTCCAGGAAGGTGCCCTGTAGCGCTGCGTCGGCAGATGCGTTTCCTTCATTTTGGTGAGCATTTCCCGGTCGATAAGGATGAGGCTGCGTGTCCATTTGCTTCAAGTCGAATGGCTTCAGTCCATTGCTGTAACTAGACTCGGAGAACGCAGCGTTGTTATTCGCCATGGAGAAGCGATAACCGCCCAGACCAGATTTGGAGTCATTGTGGCTGGAGAACGTGGGTGTCAGTGACGCAGTATTTTTCGGTGTGGCAGACATCAAATGGTGTGGTTGAAGTGGCGGCAAGATGAACTGCTTGAACGAATCGTCGCAAAAGGCTTCCAGACCGTTGGGCGGTTGGGTTGTATCCTGTTTTATAGCGATATTTGGACGGGCCAGTTTCTTAAGAGGTGGCTGGTGGCTGAGACTGTAGCGGAAGGCATTGCTCTCCATGCCGGCATTGGCGTTAGGACTGCGGTACATATCGGCGAACGGGTCGGCCATGCCAACAGGAACCTGAACGTTTACTGGCCTCCGACGGATGGCCGTGTCGCCCTGTTTTGCTTTGGCCTTGGCGATGCCATTGCCGACGATGCGTCTCTTGATTGGCAGACCGTTCATCGTCGCAGTCGGAGGAGGGATCACTTGTGTGCTCTTCTGACGCCACTGCTCCCGGATGGACAAGTTGGGATTGTTGTTGGCCGACAAGTCCGGTGGGAAGCAGTTGTGGCTGAAGGTGCAGACACCACTGGACTGCGTTTTGGTCCATTTGCGGAAGCCAAAGTTGTTGAGTTGTCGCTGGAAGCTGGCAAACTTCTGGTGCTTAAAGTATTTGGGCAAGATCTCGCGCTCGAAGCGTTTCATCTCGAGGATGTGGAAGGCTGTGACGCTGTTGGGCGTTAGCTCCTCGTTCTCCACCCATGAGATGATGTCCGGGTCCTCTGTTTGCAAGATCGCATACAGCGAGCGCAAGAACTTGGGAACTTTGCATGCAGCGGCCGAGGCTGCTAGAGCTGCAGGCAGGTCTGTCGCGTCACTGGCAGCCTTGACCTTGCCGACGCCGTGAGACGACACCCGCGCGCGCTTGGCGGGTCTGGTAGCAGTCGCGTCCGTGGTCGGACGGGCGGTTTTTGCGGACGGCATCGGGGCGATTGACAATTGCCTGTTGCCACAAGATTTTCGATATTCGACTGGGAGGTTGGTCACGTGGACTGAAAATCCGCGAATGAACCGTGGAAGACCCGCAACGTTTGCTGGGAGACGGCGGCGGGGCAGCATTGTCCGTCGGGTCTGCCGGTGGTCATACGGCAAAAATGTAAGCTGACCAATCAGAAGGTGTTGTGCGCGACCCGTTGGATCGCGTCCCAGTGACGGGAGACGGGGCGCCAAGATACTTTCGGGCCGATCTTATCTGGACGACAGCGCCAGCAGCTCCGAATGTCAGGAGCTATGGGCTTTTGTATGCCACGAAAATGTTGGCAAACAACTACTGCTACATTTAATTGGCAACTGCAAACGCTTGTGGCTGCATAAGCCGCACCCAGTTCCATGATGCCGTGGGCTTAATTTTATCTTGACCTCTCTTCAGCGTTTTTGCCTGCGGACCCCTTCGTCGAGATCGCAGCATCGCACGCCACCTTGGTCTCTGCCAAGTGTAGTGTGCCAGCAAAAGTGATGGATAGCCTCCATCAATGTACAGCCGAACTCACGGCAATGGGTGCAGTCTAGGGGCAAAACGGCCTTACCGTTCGCGCGGGACAATCTCCGACCACAAGGTGTCGTTGAACGCCGGCAAGTTGACGTTGGCCAGCCGAGCTTCGAGAACACGAGCATTCAAAACACAACCAGCATTTTTTGCCTGCTTCCGCCAAAGGGTATCAACCCGGCCAGGTTTGCCCCCGGACGCCACAGACCGTCTGTCAGACCTGCATGCATAGCGCTGCGCGCGATCGTGGAAGTGACGTGCCCGAGATGAGCTCCGGCGTCCAAAAGAGCATACAAACGCCAAGTAGTCATCCGTTGCCGGCCAAATTGAAGCTCGCCGCGTTTGTGTAACGGGTGGCCCACCTTGCCGGAACGCTCGGCGAACCTTTTTACCGAACCAAATCAGCGCCGTGGTTTTTCGAATACCGCACGTTGGTCGCCTTGGTGGGCTCTGCTCAGCTTGCTGTCGGCGCAATGTGCGTAGGTCCAAGCGATCAGAAGCAAGTCTTGCTCTCTCTGGAGATCCCAGCTGGTTGCAGCAGCTTCATGCTCACTGACAACGAGTTGTTGCTCGAATTCGAGCGCTACCGAGAGTGCGTTAATCGCGACTTTAGCTTCAAAGCACAAATCGCCGACTCGCGTTACGCGACGCCCAGTCTATGATCTGTAAATCAGCGTGCGTTTGCTGTGATCTACATGAAATCTTTGGCGTCTTCCCGGCGGAAGTTCCCGCGGCGCGAAGGCGGTCTGGTCGCGAACTCGCCGCTTCAGTGCGCGTTGATGCCATCGTCTGTCTGTTGAAGCAGAAGCCTGCCTCCATCTCTTAAGTGACGCCGTAGCAGTCGAAGCATGAGCACTGCGTTTGCTCCGCAAGATGCGCGCCATCACTGCTGACGATCCATGTCCACATCTTCAACGAACAATTTTTCGGTGGGTCGCTTACAGTTAATCAGAAAATGGTCCCATTGTGCATGCTTTTCCAATCGAAAATGCACTCACATCGTTACTCGACCAAAAGATCTGATTCACTTGACACTTTGGCTCCCGCTACAGAGAGCGTTTCGTGCGCGTCGACTCTCGGTTTTCATGCTCTCCTGTATCGGAGAGTTTGTTCTTGTTATCGTCACCTTCAGAGCAGTAACGCTGCCTGGTCTGCCATTGCTTTGGGCTCCGTTTTAACATTTTCAGACACGATTTCCATGGAATTCAACGCAGCAACTTCCCAAATTAGACACAGTTAAAGGTGCGCATGCTTCACTAATTACAAATCTATTTGCCTTAGATTTGGAGATTAAATACGAGAGCTCTTGCGCAAGCCTCATGCTCGGTCTACCCAGGGCCCATTTTCATTGACATATCACTCTACGATCAAGAAAGCTATTTTCTAATACCTTTTTTTTAAAAAAAGAGGCCCCTTCTTTTTATAAAAAAGACTCATTTTTCGTATCTAATCGGGACCGGAGAAAATGGCCGAAACGTATTATAAAACTTGACACAGGAGCACCGGTGGATAACAATGGGAAAGTGGTTACGGAACGAGCCTGCGAACTGGTGACGGTCCTGCTGCGGGTCAATGCCATTACAGGGGGAGAACGTAAGGAGCACTGTTAAGTGCTGGCCGGCGGGAGATATTCTGACGGGGGTTGCTTGCAGTGCAAATGCTGGAGTGATGCAACCTTCTGCTAGCTAAAAACCTTTCCTCCGTGTTGTGCGCTTACTAACTTTTACGTATGTCAGCAACCACTCATTCACTGGGCGAGAAGACTCCTGGTTGCAGGACTCAGAGCTGGTCTGGCTTTACAGGTGCAAATCACTGTCGCGGTAATCCTCCTTAGGTCGGGGTCGTGTATCTAGCAGGCCGACGTAGGAACTTAGGTTTATCACGTAAATGTAAAGTTGCTGTTGTATTCTTGAGCACTTCTCTTGTAAGAAGGAAAATCACGACTGAGCTTCTACCTAAAGCTCCCAGCTGAGCACTAGGCTCCTTACCTTTCTGTAAATCGTCCCCACGTAGAGGTCCAACGCAAATTCCCACCCCTGTCGACGGCCGGGCGTTCCACTCTAAACTTGGAGCGCCGCCGATTGGGCCGGAGAGCACAGTTGCTTGGACGTGGCCTGTGACTTCTGCAGCAAGCAGATCTTCCGAACGCAGTCCGAGAGAATGGCGAGTCCTCCTTCTAGCTGTGTACCGTGACAATTCTCCCCGACTACCACTCGGTGGCCTCGCCGAGCCTCCTTGCTCGACACGGGTTCCACGGTACCATCAGCCACTTCATTTGGAACGCCTCCCTGAGGCGTTCCAGTATATTCAGGACTCGCGTTCTCGACCGGAGAAGGCGTTCCTTGATTCTTGATACCTCACAACCGCGCCACGCTGACACGCTCGCGTTTTTTGCGTCGTTCAATCCATCCAGCGAGCCCATCCCAGCCTTGCTTGGCTCTCAGTCTAGGCCCTCTTTCCTTGCCGACCCGAAGCCCTCAATAGTTGCGAATCAAATGGTTGTAACAGCCGATCATCAGTAGTGAGGCGCTCCAGTAGCAACACCACGGTGATGGGCGTGGCTTTGCTGGTGTTAATGGTGGACGTCCTCTTGCAGTTCTCATTTCGAATCACACGAACCTGAATAGGGCGGTCGGCGAGAAGGCAAACGTCGTTGAGATGTCCGACGAGGGCGACGAAGACCAAGGCTACGACAACCTAGACGCCGACGCAGCTGGGGATGGAAACAACTATCAACCGGACTTTTGTTTTGACGTCGACCCCGACGAAAGCTGCTGCAGTGGCCGTGATGATGATGGTGGTAGCAGTGGCGTCTCCTCAATCCCCAACACTGCTGCAAGTTGTCGTCGTGGCACCATGTCTCGTACTGATGGCGACGGTGAAAGGGTCGCTACCGCTGTGAGCGGATCCGAAGGCGGTTTCCAAGAGCTTCTCGCGATGGCAATTTGCGGAGATGGTGTAGAGCAACTATCGCCTTCAACTGGACCTAGAGACGCCGCGCCCACAACCGACAACCCCGCTCAACTCGCTCTGCTGGGCGAAGTAAAACCCAAGCAAGACAGCAACGCCGC